TTATTATTATTATTACTATTATTTTTATTATTATCATTATTACTATTATTTTTATTATCATTATTATTATTATTATTACTATTATTTTTATTATATTATTATTACTATTATTTTTATTATTATCATTATTATTATTATTATTATTATTATTGTTATTATTATTCCCCGCCACCGCAATCATCACTGTCCAGATGATGACTCGATGCATAATGACGACGCTGGAAAGAGCTTTCCAGATAGCTTTCCACTGGGTTGTACATGAAAAAGTTAACAACAGCAACAACAATAATAATAATAACAAAAATAATAACAATAATAATAACAATAATAATAATAATAAGAAGAATGTTGTTGTTGTTGTTAAGCCGTTTGTGGCTGAGAGAACGTCAACAACAACAACAATAATTACATCAACAATTACAACAACAACAACAACATCATGTTCATTATCATCAACAACAACAACATCATTATTATCTATAACAACATCATCACTATCAACAACAACATCATCATTATTGCCATCTGCAACAACAACATCATCGTTATTAACAACATCAACAACTTTATCATCAACAATAACAACAACATCATTATTATCATTATCAACAACATCAACATCATCATTACCAACAACAATAACAACATCATCATTATTACCAAAAACAACAATATCAACATCAATGGCAGCAACAACAAAATTGACGGCAGCTACAACAGCAGCTACAACATCAGCTTCAACATTTTCAGCGGCAGCAGCATTGTCAGCAGCTTCAACTGCAGCAGCAGCAGTGGTAAAGCCACTTCCGGCGGCTAAAAACATCAGCAGGTCAGCAGTCGGTGGCTTTAACATCCAAGTAACCAACTCAATTAAGCTAACGACGTTTTCAACAAAACCATCAACAATACCAACAACCACAACGACCTTAGCTTTCGACAACAACAATAACAACGACGACAACAAAAATAATAACAATAATAATAATAACAACAATAATAATAATAACAACAATAATAATAATAACGGAAAAAAAGTTCAGCACATACCTGTAAGGTTATCCTACCAGCCGAAATCATCATTCTCCGGCAAAAGTACGGAGATATAAGTATAAAAATAATAATAATGATTATTATTTTATTATTCTTAATTATTTATTTTAATTAAAAAAAAATATTTTGTTAAATGATTGTGAATGTCATTGGATCAGGGTTGGGCAAACTATTTTTTATGCGGCCCGCGAGGCCCTGTTTGCCAAACATAAAAGGCCGTCAGCCAGACATTATGACTGGAAGTCATTAATTTAAAAAAAATTCTCCCCCGGGTCGAAAAATTTGCTATTTAAGTACATATGCGGTCCTTTAATGGTCAAATAGTTCTCAGTGCGGCCCTCACAGCAAAAAGTTTGCCCACCCCTGTGTTATATATGATAAATAACTATTTACCATTGCGTTTGCGTTCTTGTTGTTGTTGTTATTGTTATTAATCGTGTTATTGTTGTTATTAATTTTGTTATTGTAATTATGAATATTTTATTATTGTTATTATTATTGTTGTTGTTAATTCTTTGGTACGTTTATGAAATTTTAGCTTACGTTTAGTTAGAGAGAGAGAGAGGGGGGGGGGAGAGAGAGAAAGAAAGGGAGAGAAAAATATTTACATAAAAAACTTATTTTTCTATTTTTCTTTTATTGCATAGTAATGTCTTTAATGTTATTTGATAATAGAGAACCATCAGTTAATGTTTAATAGAATAATCAATCAATCAATCAAGCAATAATATATGTAATATCAACCAATCAATCAATAAATTAATTAGTTAATTAATCAATCATATTAACAGTGGGCAATTTCTGAAATAAAATCCGTTTTTTCTGGCAAATTGGTATACATTGATTAATAACTAATTTATCAGTCGCTGAATAATGAGAACTGGGTTTTTTCATTCTAATTTGTAAATAAACTCTTTCATTTATTGGTTCAGTTACACAAGATATTATTAATTATATTATATTATAATTATATATTATTACAAATATATAATAAAGCGACAATCGACAATTTTTTGCATTCATTCATTCCAATTGCAGACTTCATTGACCTTGAAATGACGACCCTTCATCTAGTTTTTGGCATTCTTTGTTCGCTTACACTTTAATACGAATTTATATTTTATTAAAAAAAACGTCTTAATTTTGCGACACTAAATATATTTTATTTAAAAAAAACTCTTTTTTAAACTTTTTATTCCAATCATTGCTCCAAAGACTGTTAATGATTTTTTTCTTGCATTTTTATCATTAAATGTTTATATATATTTCTACATATATATATATATATATATATATAATTGATAGCTTCAATACATGTTTAACAAGCTCAAATGCTTACTAGCCGAGTAGAAACCTTCCTTCTTCCATATTCGAACATTTCTGTTAGCAAGAACATTTTTTCGAGGATTCATTTCGTACGTGACCCATGTAGTTGTAGTCAGCTCCTGGCAAGAATTCTAATGTTGGTTTCAAATATTTTTGCTGTAATAACTGAACTGATTCTTGGCTCGCACATTTGGTTTATATATTTTGTATTAGTTTTTTTTTTTAAATAAAACTAATAAACGAGATGTTTATAATTTTCCATCTGATTTTTGTATTTGTGTATGTGTGTGTATATGTGTATGTATGTATGTATGTGTGTGTATGTATGTATGTATGTGTATACGTGTATGTATGTACGTACGTACGTACGTACGTATTAGAGCCCCAAGCGGATAACCAAATAAAAAATTCTCAAAATATGCGGATTTTACGGTTTGCGGATTTTGTTTGTGCAGATTCAAGTGCGTTAATTAAAAAAACAGCCCTCAAAATTAAATTTTCAACTTTTAAAAATTTTCAAATTAAAAAATTTTATTTTTACGTTTGTTAGCATATGTATGTACGTGTGTGAGAATGTGTGTGTGTTTAATGGCCATAGCTGAATCTCTCTCTCTCTCTCTCTCTCTCTCTGGGTTCCACATTGGTAAAGCCAAGCGAACAGCTCCTACTAATTACTTCAGCAGATTTGAATAAATAAAGTTAGTTGGCTTACTTACAAAATTGCATGGGTTTTAATAACAAATAACTAGTACAAAAGATTTACTTGACAAAAAATATTTTTAAAATAATATAATTGAATCGAATTATTTAATTAAAATTATCGTTGTCAATTTAAATAAAAATATAGCTTTTTGTTTAGAAAACAGAGTGGCTTACTGAAGCCATGGTGGGCTGGCTTACTTACGAAAGTGCATGGATTTCAACAAACAACTAATACTAAATATAAATTTGACTCAATATGTTTAAAACAGTACTTGAATCGAATTATGTAATTGGAAATTATTTTTGTCAATTTAAATGAAAATATTGCTCTTTGTTTCGAAAACACGGTGGCTAACCTACAGCTTAACAAAGCTTACTTACGAAATTGCATTATTTTCATTATTGACAAAAATAATTTCAAATTACATAATTCAAGGTTTATTGGTTGATTGTTTGATTGGTTAGTTAAAGGATTGATTGATTGTTTGGTCAGTTGATTTGATTCAGCGGTTGATTGATTTATTTTATCCCTTCAACTTCCACACCAAGAGAACAAGCTTTTTCAAAATCTGGAAAACTGATAAGCATAAAAAAATTAAATTGCGAGAAAGTTCAATTGAAGGGTGTGCGTGTTAAAATGATTTGATGGAATTACTTCCCAAATAGAACTTGTGTATATGTTCTATTTTAATTAAATTATGAATAAAATATTTTTTAAACTCGCTCGTGTTATTTCTTTACATCGATATTGGAGCAAAATTTTAATATAAAAGCGGTTATAAATCTACGCTTAGTGGCTCAGCTTGGCTTGGAATTGGATGTGAAGCAAGGTGTGGTCTCAAACTATTTTGAATTCTCCCCGAAAAATTTGAACTGCGACTAGAATCCATGTATACAAATAATTAATAAGATTATATGATTGCATAAAAAGCAATATAGCAGATTCAACCAGCCAATCAGAAAGTTTCGAAGGCGTTCGTTCGTTGACGTCAATTTAGTACGATTAGCATTGTTGTTAAGACTGTATAATAGTGTAGCACATAAATTAAATAAGTTTTTTACCAATGTGAATGATTAAAATTATGAGAATGTATGATTGAAACGAGTATAAATAGGAGCTGAGACAGCCTGAAAATCAGATCAGGCATTCTGCCTCGCTTGAGGCTTGAAGCGGTCTGCCTGATCTCACTTATTTTTTTATTTTTATTTATTTTATTATATAGAGTTATATAGAGTTGCGCGGCTATATAGAGTTTGCATGTTTGTCTGTGGTTCGTATGATTGTGTTATGTTTTTTTATATTTTAGGTGGGTTCTTTAGCGGTTGCTCATACATACATACATACATCATGTTTGTTTGTGTGGTAGTATTTTATGTTATGTTTTACTCTTTTTTTTCTTTCTTCATGAGTCTTGAGTTAAGTTAATGAAATATAGGTAGGTGAGATTAAAAATTAATTTATTATATAGGTAGGCTAGGGCATAAGGTAATTTAGTTACATAGGTAGGTTAGGGACTCCTATTCTTTTGCTCTTACTTGGTTGTGTGTTTTTCGTTTTGTGTTTTTTTTGCTTCACACCATACATTCAGCAGGTACGCGGTGGTTCCTGGTTTTAGTGGGTCTTTTATTGATTGAACGTGGTAGTTTGTATGGTTATATAGAGTTGCGCGGTTATATAGAGTTATATAGAGTTATATAGAGTTATATAGAGTTATATAGAGTTATATAGAGTTATATAGAGTTATATAGAGTTATATAGAGTTATATAGAGTTATATAGAGTTATATAGAGTTATATAGAGTTATATAGAGTTATATAGAGTTATATATAGATACCTTTCTTTGAGGTTCTTTTCTTTGCCGACCGGTCGGCTTCTTTGCGTTTCTCCATTTTCATTTTAATTAATTAAATAAATAAGATTTTTGTCCATTCATTTAGGTTCATTCAGGTTCATTCATTCAGGTTCATTCATTCAGGTTGAAGCTTCCGGGGGAGTTCATCGTGGAAGATGTCACGTTCATTCAGTGGCAAAGAATGCACGCCTGGCCGGGGTTCGTTTTACGGTTTCTTTGCAGTTCCTTTCTTTGCCAGTTGGCTGGCTTTTCCGGCTAGAGGATTTTACCGCGGCTCGTTTTTTCAATTTCATTTAAATAATTTAAATAAAATTTTTTCATTTTATTCATTTCATTCAGAGGTTCAGGCTACATTCGTTCATTCAGTGGCAAAGAACACACACCTGGCTGGGATACGTTTTATTCTTTTTTCTCTGTTTTTTTCTGCAATTTAACATTAAGTAAGAATGCTCACACGCACAAACACACACACGCAATTAAATTAAGTAGCTATATAGGTAGGTTAGATAGGCATAATTTTAATTGTAGGTAGGATAGATAGGAAGCATCCAACACTAATGTAGTTGAATAGGTAGGCGCGTAAGTTTATCTTTTCTATTTTTTCTTGCACTCACATTACACGCATCAGCGTTATTACACACACACAAATACATACATAAACACATATGTTAGTATTTGAGCGTAATTTTATTTTCAATACACGTTCTAATTTATTATTACATAAGGTTGAGAGTAATTTAATTTCATAGGTAGTTAAGGGCAATAATGTAATTCTAGGAACAATCTTGTAATGTAAATTAAAACGCTGTAAGTGTATCGATAGGTAGGTTAATTATTAAGTTTTACATTATTATTATTATGTTGGAGCCCAAGGCATTACGTAGGTGGTGGGGTGGGTGCCGAAAGGCCAATGAATTGGGCTCTTGAGTTTTGTAATTTTAGGTAAGCTAGGGCCATAATGTGATGAATAGGTAAGTTAAGGCTACGTTGTAACACACACTCATTAATAGATTTAGGGTTTAAGTTTTATGTTATTATTACTAAGTTGGAGCCCAAGGCATTACGTAGGTGGTGGGGTGGGTGCCGATTGGCCAATGAATTGGGCTCTTGAGTTTTGTAATTTTAAGTAAGCTAGGACTTAATTGTAATAAATAGGTAAGTTGAGGGTACGATAGCCGATAGACTCTGGATTTCAAAGTCCGTTGTCAGAGGTAAGCCTTGGTGGCCAGTGGTGAACCGGCAATGGTTTACTATCCGGACGGCAATGGTTTACTATCTGCACGGTAATGATTTACTATGCGGCATGGCCATAGTCTACTACCCGCACGGCTTCCGGACGGCAAATGGTTTACTATCCGCACGGCAATAGTCTACTATCCGCACGGCAATGGTTTACTATCCGGTGCCCTGGCTGTCGGTGAACCTCTGTGCAAGGAGGGAGAATGAAGGGTGACTTTCGACTATCGTACCATTAACAATTTAATATAAATTAGCTAAGGTAATTGAATATGTAGATAGGATTATTTTTATTAAGCAATTAGAGATGCAGGCACCGCTAAGCTTTCTGATCAGGATCTTCTCTTTATTTTTCTTCCTCAATACGGGCTGTGTCTTAACAACAATCTCGAGGAGGACTGGAGGACAACATAGGAACCGGAGAGCATTCAACATTCTGCCTTCTTCGAATGGACGACGGTAAGTTTTTTTTTATATTTTACTCTCTTCATTATTTTGAAATATTATTTATTTGCCGTTATTTTTATTTTATAATTGTTTTGCTTCTAAAATTCTAACATTCATTTACTACTACGCAAATAAAAAAAATTTTGTCAATAGAACGATGTCAGCACATTTCAGATGATGCAATGGAGTACAGTAACGACGATTTTTGGAAGAAAGGTTTGGATTCGTTTTTTTATTTTTCTCATTCGTTCATTTTCTCACTCAATCTTTTAAATTTTTTAATTGATTAATTGATTCATTTGATTGATTAATTAATTAATTCATTCATTCACTTTATCAATCAACCAATCATTTATTCGTTTGTTCCTTCGTTCAAACAGTCATTTACTGTTACGTTAATAAAAATTTTGTGTACAGAATTTTGAGAGGTGGGCAGTGGTGGGAGTCAGCACGTTTCAGATGGTGGTCTCATGGTAAGATAATTTGCCTGTTACTATTTTCCAATGGCTTGTTTTTTATTTTAAAGAATTAACTTTTTTCAATTTTGTTTTTCAGTATCCGGTAAAATTCATTCTGTCGGTGCGTCTCAGATGTTGGTCGGTGCAATGGAGTTTCGTCCGTAGTGTGTGAAGTTTCTGGAGAGTACACGTCCGCACATTTACACACACACACATCAATACAACGCACACATACACAACATCCATTCATTCGGTGTTGTTATGTTTCTCTTCAACTTTCTATTTTCTTTACCGGACTTAATTTAATTCATGGGTAAGTTAAGGATTGAGATGAGTTGAACAATCGTAGGTAGGCTAGGGCTTAACATTAGTTAAAAAGTTTCAAGTAAAATAAAAACATTAAAATATGTAAAATAAAATATCTGAAACGTGTAAAATTTCTAAAACGTAGAAATACAAATTTGTAGGTAGGTGAGTTGAGTTAATCAGTATAGGTAAGCTAGGGCCCTGAGAGTAATTTAATTGTAGGTAAGTGACTGACTGACTATTCTTACGATTTTTTACTTTTTCTGTGTTATGTGTTTCCGCTTCCCACCACCACACCAACAAAACAGTTATCTTTTTAAATTTTACCTATTCGAACAATCTTTTTAATAATGTCTATTTATTTGTAAATTGTTCACTGGTTTTTAATTTTTTTTCGGTTACATAATTTTAGGACATTTCTTGATTTACTTTGTACATATGCATGTATAAGTAATTTCTGTTTGGTACGTTGATTTAGCCATTATGATATGTTGTGAACTGTTCTTACTAAATGTTCATGTTACGTAGATTATTATCTTTCGAGAACTTCTAAGGAGTGCATGTGACATGTGACTGGCTGGCTGGTTGGTTGGTTGGTTGGTTGGTTGGTTGGCTGGTTGGTTGGTTGGTTGGTTGGCTGGTTGGTTGGTTGGCTGGTTGGCTGGCTGGCTGGCTGGCTGGTTGGTTGGTTGTTTAATAAATGTTTAGATGAATGGGTGGTTGGTTGATGCGGAACAGATAATGAGCAGTGCCGATGCGGGCGTTCGCGGACGTGAACTCTGCAATTGCGGGTGGTTGCGGTTTAGAAAAATCTTCTCTGCTTGGGGCTCTAGTACGTATATATGTATGTGTGTTTGTGAATGATGGATGAATGATATATGCAATATGAAAGAGCATTGTTTCGTGAATTTGCATTTTTTTATGTAGAATAATTTTGCGTGGATGTGTCTTTAATGATTTTCCGTGGCTGTACGTGCGTGTACCCTGCTCCGATTGTTAGAAACTTTTAAAGAAAATAGCCATCAGTGAATTGATGGTGTTATCATGTTTGCTGTTTGCACTTTTATTAAAAATGTTGATGATTTGTTGGGAAAAACTCAAAAAAATTTATTTAAATAAGATTAGTAAAGAAAAAACATTATAGAACAAAAAAGTACATCAAGCTATACTTATTAAGACTATACTTCAAATTGTCACCTATCGACATTTTAAAACTACAATAATGTCGTTTAACCGATTAGTTGAACCTTCAAAAATTAAGGTTCACTTTTAAATTTTAGCTATAAACATCACATTAAATAGTGCGGTCCGGTTAAATTTTAAAATATGGAGAATTTGGAGATCGTCAGGCAGCTGCAGAATGCTCTGGCATTAATTATGAATCCTCTTTCTAATCAAAAATTAAGAGCCGAAGCCCACCAAGTTTGTACTTTTAACTTCTCAAAAGTTGTTAAATGAAAAATAAATTGAAATTGATTGACTTGACTTGATGACACCCTTGATTGAACGAATCAATGATCAATCATTCAAAAAGATTGGTTGCTACTGTGCATGTGACATGTGTGTACATTGCATGTGCATGTGGCATGTGTGAGAACACGATGCATATGCATGACACATGGACAACCTGCTTGTTGGCAGAGGAGAAACCTAAGCATAGACCCAATGAATGACTTGTTTTTTTTTAATTTTGTGTCAAAACACACAACATTACACTGCACAGAGATTAAAGTAACCCAAACAAGACAAATAAATATGAAATAAATATTAAACAAATATTAAATAGATATTAAATGAATAAATAATCAAGTAAATAGATAAAATAAATCTATTTGTTTCAATATTAGTTTTGTGAAGAGTTCAAAGCCAGTGCTCCGAACTGTGCAAAAGTTGGCATCGAGCTATCTAGAAAAGAAAATGATCAAATCACGAGGCACTTTGGTTTTCAACTCATAGAATACTGCGTCAGGTGAATTACTAAAAAAATAATTATTAATTTGTCTTATATTTTGTTTAATAATTATTATATAATAATTAAATTATTTTATAATTAAAAATTCTTTATAAATTATAAATGATTAGAAGAGTGTAAGTAATTATTAATAAATAAATGATATATGTTGTTACTTCTGAAAGATAGATAATTAAATAAATTATAACCATAAATATTATTTAATGAGAGTATGAAAATGGTAAAACTATAATTTTTATTGTCAAATAATAAGCAATTAATAATTTTAATCATGATTATTGATGTAGCTGGATATTTTCTTAAAATAGATTTAGATGGAATAGCATGTCGTTGGACGAGAAAAAGTTCATTAAAGAAAGTAGCATGGAGCTTATTAAAGGGGTGTGTTATTATTATTATCATTATTATTATTATTTATTATTATTATTATTTTAAGTAATATTAGTTATAGAATTAGTAATTATTTTTATTTACCAATTTCATCGATTGACAACAGCGCGATTGTTAACGATAGTTTCAGAAAAAAATGTTCATAACAAAACAACACGCACACGCACGCACAAAAACACGTGCACACACACACACAAACAGGGAACCCTGGACATCGTATCAGAACAGAGACACATCAAAGATGGCCTTTCAAGGATCATCGTGGAGATAGCTAAGAGAGAGTGGCCTCAACAGTGGTTATCCATGATCAGTGAATTTGACGCCATCTGTACCTTGGGGGTGAATTTTTGTTTTTTTTTTTGAATAAAAATGTTTTCAGTAGATTTTAAATGTTTTAAATCACAAATTCAAAACGAGAAATTTTTCGTCAAGTATTTCTAAAAACTAAACGAAGCTTTGTTCTTATTTGTCGAGAAAAAAATACTCAACTTTATGTTTTTTTTTCCACAGCCAACGCAGACTGAACTAATTCTCCTAGTCTTTCTCCGCCTAGCTGAAGACGTTCTAATGTTCCAGACGACCCCTCAGCAGCGTAGACGAGACATCCAGCAGGCCTTTGTCTCAATCATGCCTCAGCTTCTGTCCTTTCTACATCTCACACTCAATGATAGCTACAGGAGTATTGTTGCAACGAGCATCAGCAACCTGACGGCCACACAATCAGCTGTCTCAGTCCAGGTTATATCAGTGACTTGTGAGGTCATCAGTACCTTCATTGACATCATCAACATCAACTTGCTTGTAGCAGATAATTCAAAGTATTTTTTTTTTCTCTCCCAAAATTTTTTCTTTCATGCGGTTTTGTAATTAATTTGTGGTGTAATTTTAGATTATTGTCATTAAACTACTTCTATTACTACTACAAATTATAATATTTATAATTATTATACTTAGAATAATAATAATAATTATAGTCATAAAACTACTTCTATTACTACTACAAATTATAATAATAATTATAATTATTATAACTTATAATGATAATAATGATAGTATGATTGTTGATATCAAAGTATCAGCACTGAGTAGATGGTATCGCCTAGACTTTTCAGTGTAAGTAGCCCAGGAGTTAATTTACTTTTCCTTCAGACTCATTCACCTTTTAGCTGACATGCTGGCCGAACCTTCTATACAAGCATACGCCGTCGACTGCTTGCTAGAAATCTCCGGGAAAAAGGTGATTGATTGATTGGTTGGTTGGTTGGTTGGATGGTTGGTTGGTTGGTTGATTGATTGATTGATTGATTGATTGATTGATTGATTGACAATGGCCGATTAGGAGAGTGAATGTATGAGAGTGTATAACAAATGAGTGATCAAACAAATAGGGCAAATTAGAAGAGAGAATTCCACTGGTTGAAGCCATGATCAGCGAGAAGTGGTTGGAAAAGTTGAAGGGCGTTGCCATGTGAGTTGATTTGCGATGATACTGATAATGATGTCTGATGATGACGACGACGACGATGATGATGGTAATGATATCTGGTGGCGACGATGATGACGAATATGATGATGAAGATGGTGATGATTGATGTCTGATGGTGATGATGTCTGATGGTGATGATTGATGTCTGATGGTGATGATGTCTGATGGTGATGATGTCTGATGGTGATGATTGATGTCTGATGGTGATGATGTCTGATGGTGATGATTGATGTCTGATGGTGATGATGTCTGATGGTGATGATTGATGTCTGATGGTGATGATGTCTGATGGTGATGATTGATGTCTGATGGTGATGATGTCTGATGGTGATGATTGATGTCTGATGGTGATGATGTCTGATGGTGATGATTGATGTCTGATGGTGATGATGTCTGATGGTGATGATTGATGTCTGATGGTGATGATGTCTGATGGTGATGATTGATGTCTGATGGTGATGATGTCTGATGGTGATGACGACGACCACGATGATGGTGGTAGTTGTGGTGGTCGGTGATGACTCACACTCAAATGAAATCATCATCTTCACCATCATCATCATCATAATCATCATCATGAAGTGTCGCCGCTAGTGGCGCCACCGAAGAGAGGACGTTTCGATTCTTCAAGAAGTTGTGTCAGGTCCTCGTCACCGTCGGCACTCAAATGTCCTCTGTGCTGGTCAGTTGTGATGATGATGACGATGTGATGATGATGAAAATAATGACGATGAGGAAGATGATGATGACGATGACAACCATGATGATGATGAAGATGATGATGAAACAGGTTGGACGACCTTCGCAGAATAACCAACCAAGTTGCATCTACTCCAAGTTCGATTTTTGATTCCGATGAAGAATTCAGCCCTTCTTTTCAAGTACTAATTTGATTTTATTACAACACAACAAACACCGTTTAGGACGACTTTTTCCCCGAGATCGGGGGTTGCCGTTTGGCTACCTATGATGAAACCGAAATACCCCTCGACGCCACCAAATTCTGTCACTCCCTCAGGTATCACGCAATAATTGATTATTTTTATTATTATTATTATGATCTTAATTAATGTTATAATTAACTAATTGTTATGATCATAATTGGCGTTATAATTAACTAATTATTGTGATCATAATTAGTGTTATAATTAACTATTTATAATATTATAAAATTAACTAATTATCATTACCAGGCATCCTAACTGACCGCTACTCAAGCGATTAATTAATTAATTAATTAATTATGATTAATTTTAATTAATTATAATCAATTA